AGCTCGCCCTGACCTCCCCCTTCCCCCCCGCAGGCGTCTCCATCCTCATGGAGCCCATCCTGAAGTTCATCCCGCTGGCTGTGCTCTTTGGCATCTTCCTCTACATGGGGGTCACCTCCCTCTTTGGCATCCAGCTCTTCGACCGCATCCTGCTCTTGCTGATGCCCCCCAAGTACCACCCTGACGAGCCCTACGTCACTCGGGTGAGTGAGCCCCGTGTCACCCTGGGGGTGTCCCGGGCTGTGGCACCTCCTGGTGCTGCTTGTGATTCCTTGGGGGTCCCCAGAGAACCTCCTTTGGTGCTGAACTTAATTGGGCTCCTTGGGGCAAAGCACTCAGGACATAAGGAAGGGCTTGGGGTGCTGGACCCATCACCCAGCACCCCAGGAAGGGTTTGGGGTGCTGGACCCACCCATCAGCACCCCATGAAGGGTTTGGGGTGCTGGATCCATCACTCAGCACCCAAGGAAAGGTTTGGGGTGCTGTACCCACCAATCAGCACCCCAAGAAGAGTTTGGGGGTGCTGGACTCACCAATCAGCACCCAAAGAAAGGTTTGGGGTACTGGACCCACCAATCAGCACCCCAGGAAGGGTTTGGGGGTGCTGGACTCACCAATCAGCACCCAAAGAAAGGTTTGGGGTGCTGGACCCATCACCTAGCACCCCATGAAGGGTTTGGGGTGCTGGACCCACCAATCAGCACCCCAGGAAGGCTTTGGGGTGCTGGACCCAGCACCCAGCACCCCAGGAAGGGTCTGGGGTGCTGGACCCACCCCCCTGACCCCCTGGGCTCCTGGTCCCGCAGGTGAGGACCCGCCGGATGCACCTCTTCACCTTCACGCAGATTGTGGTGCTGGTGCTGCTCTGGGTGGTCAAGTCCAACCCGGCCTCGCTGGCGCTGCCCTTCGTCCTCATCCTCACCGTGCCCCTGCGGCGCTTCCTGCTGCCCAAGATCTTCAGCAACGTCGAGCTCAAATGTGTACGTAGCCCCCCCGGCACAGGCTGGGGACACTGCGGTGCTGCCCCCTTCCCTGGGCCCATCCCACTTCCCAGCCTCATCCCTATCCCTGTCTCCATCCCCATCTTCATCCCCATTCCTGTCCCCATCCTTGTTCTCATCCCCATCCTCATACCTGTCCCCATCCCCATCTTCATGCCCCTCCCTGTCCCCATCCTTGCTCCCATCCCAATCCCTGTCCCCATCCCCATCCCTGTCCCCACCCTCACCCCTCTCCCTGTCCCGACCCCTATCCCTGTCCCTCTCCCCACCCGTGTCCTCAACCCCATCCTTGTCCCCATCTCTGTCCCTATTCCTGTCCCCATCCCTGTCCCCATACCTGTCCCTACCCCCTTCCCTGCCCCTGTCCCCATCTTCATCCCTGTCCCTACCCCCTTCCCTGCCCCTGTCCCCATCTTCATCCCTGTCCCTACCCCTTTCCCTGTCCCTGTTCCCATCCCTGCCCGTCCCCATCCCTGTCCCCATCTTCATCCCTGTCCCTACCCCTTTCCCTGTCCCTGTTCCCATCCCTGTCCCCATCCCTGTCCCTACCCCTTTCCCTGTCCCTGTTCCCATCCCTGCCCGTCCCCATCCCTGTCCCCATCCCCATCTCTGTCCCTACCCTTTTCCCTGTCCCTGTTCCCATCCCTGTCCCCATCCCTGTCCCTACCCCTTTCCCTGTCCCTGTTCCCATCCCTGCCCGTCCCCATCCCTGTCCCCATCCCCATCTCTGTCCCTACCCTTTTCCCTGTCCCTGTTCCCATCCCTGTCCCCATCCCTGTCCCTACCCCTTTCCCTGTCCCTGTTCCCATCCCTGCCCGTCCCCATCCCTGTCCCCATCCCCATCTCTGTCCCTACCCTTTTCCCTGTCCCTGTTCCCATCCCTGTCCCCATCCCTGTCCCTACCCCTTTCCCTGTCCCTGTTCCCATCCCTGCCCGTCCCCATCCCTGTCCCCATCCCCATCTCTGTCCCTACCCTTTTCCCTGTCCCTGTTCCCATCCCTGTCCCCATCCCTGTCCCTACCCCTTTCCCTGTCCCTGTTCCCATCCCTGCCCGTCCCCATCCCTGTCCCCATCCCCATCTCTGTCCCTACCCTTTTCCCTGTCCCTGTTCCCATCCCTGTCCCCATCCCTGTCCCTACCCCTTTCCCTGTCCCTGTTCCCATCCCTGCCCGTCCCCATCCCTGTCCCCATCCCCATCTCTGTCCCTACCCTTTTCCCTGTCCCTGTTCCCATCCCTGTCCCCATCACCCTCCTCTTCCCCAAATGAACTCCCAGTGCCAACGAGCACCCACAGCATCCCCAGGGTGTGCACAGTCCAGAGAGGGGGGGGTTAGATATTTACCATGAAGACAATCATACTAAACCCCCCCCTCCCAAAAAACCCACCACCATTTACACCCAGGCAGACACTGAGAACCAAAGGAAAAACTCCCCCCCCCCCCAAAAAAAAAGCACCTTAACAAGAAAAAAACAACACAAAACCCCCCAAAAAACCCATAAAAAGAGGAAAAACAAACCAAAGCAAAGCAGCTACAAGGAGTGATCTGTATATTTGATGTCAGTGAGGGGGGGGAGGGAGGTTGTAATTTATTTCCAAAGGCTGATTGTGCTCCCACCGTGTGTGTGTGTGTGTGTATATAACAAACTAGAGATAAACTCTATTAAAAAATTAAGATTTTTCTAGAAAAGCTTCTTTTAAAGATTCCTGGTCAGGGCCTAAACTCTACAGACCAGCCCAGCAGTGTCATTTCACTCATGAATTAATCTCAGGATCATTCCTCCTTATATATTTTTTTAGATTTTTCAGTTAAATCCATGTAGGTTTTTTTATTTTTCCTGGATTTTTCCCTTGCTTGCTGACTGCCTCTTGCTCCTTTTCCACTGGGATTGATCCCAAATTGTCTGAGCATCCCCCCTGCTTCTGATCCTGCCCTGGATTCACTCCAGCAGGCTGAGAATTTGCTCATTTTTAAAATAAATTGGAGTGGTGAGGACCCCAAAATCAGTGTGGGAGGGGGGATAGTGGGGGGGGGGGGAGGGAGGAAGTTGGGTTGGTTTAGTTTTCTTAATTATATGGTCAGAAGAAACATTGTTACAAGCTTTAGGGTGTTTTTTTAAATTCCATTCCCTGTCCATTTCTGTATCAGGCTTTAATAAAGAAATGAATCATTCATCAGAAAGGAAATGGGGGTTTTCTTTCTGGTTGGCGATTTGAGGGGGTGGGAGGGGGGGGGATGTCACCTTATTGAATTGCCTCCCCCCAAAAATCCATTGGCTGTGCCTGGGTGGTCCCAGTGGTGATCCCGGGATGCTCAGAGCAGCTCTATCATCCTGGGATGCTCCTCAAAACCATCCTGGGATGTTCCCCAAAACTATCCTGGGATGCTCCCCAAAACTATCCTGGGATGCTCCCCAAAACTATCCTGGGATGCTCCTCAAAACCATCCTGGGATGTTCCCCAAAACCATCCTGGGATGCTCCTCAAAACCATCCTGGGATGCTCCCCAAAACTATCCTGGGATGTTCCCCAAAACCATCCTGGGATGCTCCTCAAAACCATCCTAGGATGCCCCTCAAAACCATCCTGGGATGCTCCCCAAAACCATCCTGGGATGCTCCTCAAAACCATCCTGGGATGCTCCCCACAGTCATTCCAAGATGGTCACTGCAGCCAGCCCAGGATGCTCAGGGCAGCTCTACCAAGATTTTTGCCACAACATCCCAGGATGCTCCTCAAAACCACCCTGGGATGTTCCCCAAAACCACCCTGGGATGCTCCCAGTGGTCACCCCGAGATGCTCACTGCACCCTAGTGTCTCAGGATTCTCCCCACAACCATCCCAGGATGCTCCCTGCAGCCATTCCCAGATGTTCCTAATGGTCATCCTGGCATTCCCAAATGTTCCCTGTGGCCATCCCTGGAAGCTCAGCCCCCCTCACCCCACCCTGCACCCTAGGGTGCTGCCCACCTGGCCGGGCTGCCCCCACTCTGGAGGAGGGG